GCGAAAATTATTTCCTCCCCAATAAGGGTTATTTCGGATGCCAGTTACTCAGAAAAACAGATATTGGTATTTCCTTCATTTTTATTTATGCATATATTCTTGAGACTTCCTTAAGGCAGAATATTTTTATTTGTATTACACAAGTACTAACTACTAACCTACTGACATCGTGCATTCTTTACGTAAGGGTTCAAATCACGATACTTTCACCACGAATAGTGTAGGATGAAGTTAGGATTTTCAAATGACATGGCTGGCTTTCGGTTTATAAGATGGTACGTTTTGAATGTACCACCTCTTTTGTGCTCATACAGACAAGAGACCATAATTAGTTTCCGGTGGCTCAAATGGAGACATGAGGGTAAAAGTTGACAATGGCGTGACGGAAGAGAGAAAAATTAAATAGGGCACGTTAAAATTCAACAAATTTTATCAATCAGAAGCATTTCCGTTATATACAGGGTGACTTCGAAGTTGAGTCATTTATTTTAACAGTGAGTAGATCTGATCAAAAGAAATGTTTTTTTCCTTTACCATTTTTCTGGTAAAATTAAAGTAACAAAGTTATAGCCCTTTGGAAGTTTGAGTACCGCCCTGCCTCAATAATGATATTATGTTCTCGTGTTTGGCAACAACAGATATAATCCGCCTTATCCGTTCATCGCATCGGAAACAAAAAAGCGAAAGAATTTGGAACGATCTTTTTACAATTATTTTCTTCAGTTGTATACAGTCAGTATCAGTCGGTAGTCGGTAACGCGTAAGTGAATAATCGTGTCTGTTGCGAGGCTCAAATCAAAAATGGCACATGTTTACGAAAATGCTGAACTTGTGGACATGGTTCTTATTTACGGGGAGTCTTTACAAAATGCTGCCGCGGCATCACGGATCTATGCGGATCGGTTTCCCAATCGAGTGCAACCAACCCCTCGTGCCTTTGTTAATGTAGTGCAAAGAGCTCGTGAATCAGGTGACTTAAGACCTCACAGAGGAGATCATGCCGGTGCTCCAAGACCACACGATCAAATAGAACTAGAAGAACAAATTTTAGAATTAGTAAGTGATGATCCAACAGTAAGCACCCGACAAATTTCAACTCAATTGGCGATTATTCAGTATAAAACTTGGAAAACTCTACGTGAAAATCAGTTCTATCCGTTTCACATACAAAAAGTGCAGGCCTTACAACCGGAAGATCATGAACAAAGGGTTGACTTTTGCAATTGGCTTTTAAATAAACATCAAAATGATGACAATTTTTTAAATCAAATTTTACTGAGTGATGAAGCCCTCTTTACTAGAAACGGAATTATTAATTCACGTAATTCTCACGTTTGGGCTATTGAAAATCCCCATGAAATAAGGGAAACCAATTTTCAACAGCGATTTGAACCAATCAACCTGTGGGCGGGAATTGTTAATGGAATTTTAGTGGGGCCTTTTGAATTACCAAATCGCTTAACTGGTGAAAATTATTGATTTCTTGCAACACAATTTGCCTGGTTTACTGGAAGATGTGCCTTTAAATATTAGACAAAACATGTGGTTTTTACAAGATGGGGCACCACCCCATTATGCAAGAAATGTGCGTGAATTTTTAAATAGACAATTTAATAATCGTTGGATCGGCCATGGCGGTTTTGTACCTTGGCCGCCAAGGTCTCCGGACTTAAATCCTTTAGACTTTTGTTTGTGGGGTTGGCTAAAAACTCTAGTGTATAAAACACCGGTTAATACACGCGAAGAATTACGTGCTCGAATTGAGGAAATGAGTACAGTGATCAGAAATCAACCAGTGATTTTATTGCGTGCTTGTAAAGAGACATGGCTAAGACGCGCCCAGCTGTGCGTCGAGCAAAACGGAAATCATTTCGAACAGTTTTTGTGACATGCTTTTGGGCGCACAGGTCCGCACTGAAATACTTGTCGGGAGGATACTTTATAAAACAAGGTAACATTTTTTTTTAATTTTTTTTTATTTTTACACACATATTTTGGTTTATCTTCCTTCTACAATCATTATCTGAAAATTAATGACTCAACTTCAAAGTCACCCTGTATATATAGTTAGGGTCTAAGGTTGGCTCAGGCCTTGAACGAGGCAACCCAAGAGCGACTTTAAGTAAGGGTCAAGGTAAGTGATGGCCAAAGAGTAAATTCGTCAAACTGATGCGGAAGCATTCACAAATGATCTTTTTGCCTTCTCGCATTTCCAGTAGCAATCGAGTACATGCTCCCAAATCGTCCTATTCCTCCTTTTTTCATTTCTTGATAGTTTTCGGATGCGCTATATTAAATTCTCTGGAGAGGGTCACTTGGTTTTCTATTTTTTACTACATGCACTTGAAACACAGGCTGGAAACACTGACAGAAAGCTTGCTATTAAATAATAGCATATGTGCCCGGAGCATTTGCTTTGAGCAATATTGAGAAGAACAGGCTTTCAACAAGCATACTAAGCACAAGCAAATGTATCAGTTTGAAGAGCATTTCATTTTTAAGCATGCTCGTAAGCATGCTATTTTATGAGCTTGTCTATCTGTACCTTTGAGCTAAAGTAAGTCGTAATGACCCAGTAAAGATCCAAAAAGGGGTTTAAAAAGGGTGAGACAAGTCTAAGGGGGTGACCCCCAATCTGAAAATGGATTGTATGTGTTAAAAACGTGTTTTATGGCCGTGGCTCTATATTAAAAAAATAAACCTATTATTTTGTTGGTTACAATAGTGATTGTATAAATTAGTCAGATCAAGTAAAAAGACTTGGAAAAGCCTTTGACAAAATAAAATCATGAATCAGCAACAAGCATTAAATAAAATAAAACAATCATTATTAAAAATACCCAATGCTCCTTTGAAATAAAGGAAGCGCAAATGTGAAATTCCATTATGAGGCACATAATTCATTGAAAATATGAAAAATACATTAATATATAGAGGTGAAATCATCCTGTAAATTCATTTGTCCCATAATTTGTGCAAAATATTCGCAAATTTCATACCAGAACAAATATTTACAGAATAAAAAGAAATCAAGCAATATGATTTCATATTATATTAAACTCACTATTTTGCCTAATTAGACACACACATAATTAGATTTTGTGTGTTGCCTCTATAATGACTAGAAAATGAGTGGTAGGAAGGGATTGTTGTGTATTTGTTAGAGTTGGGCATAAATTAGTGTGCATAGAGATGGGCGGAATATTTGGATTTCATGGACGATATAATCGTAACAAGGTGTCATCTTGGAAGCACAAGTTGCTTCGCATCCCTGAAAATAAATAAGAGAAAACGCACATTTGTTAAAAACAAGCTATTAATTAGCTGTTAGTGAAACGAACTAAAAATTTAAAATTATTTATACTCCCTGGAAATTTACCCTTTAACCTTTAAACAATAATGAAGACCCTTCACTTGAAGCTTTCATTAAAAAAAAAAGCTTGATACACCCTGTTCTCCCTCTTGCTGTTGAAAAGTAATACGCTCTTTTTGAAATTTAAGTCGTAAGATCTTCATGATCGTTTGGTGGCGAAGGAGAATACAATGGTGTATATTTAATCGGAAAAAATATTTTAAGATTTTGAGTTCGCTTTTTTAACCGTTAACGAAAAACTTGTTTTCAACAACCTGGTTTTTCCTCTCATTTATTTTTTACTTTTATGTTGTCAAATAGCTAGTTTAGTCATTTATATATAATTTGCAAATATTTTATTTGGTAGGACTTCATAAAGTTCTTACTTCATTTGTAAGATTTTAATCGACATAAATCATATATTACGTAAACACCTGGAAATACTTATATCTATGAGTATCCTTGTTCAAATGATGGAAAAAAGCTGAAATTATATTATATTATGGATAAGAATTTATTTTAGTTAATAATAATATTGCCATTACATGTTAGGTGACCGCCATATCAGATTTATAATACGTCACTTCACTTATTTTGCTTCGCTCATCAACACGTTTCAGACGGTACCCATATCATAGAGCCAAATTGGATTCAGATTGAAGCCCTTTTGGTTATTTTGTTTGTCCCATCAAGCGCTTTCATTTGATACCCATGTCATAAGTGCTACAATAGAAATTATAAGTCGCCATTTTGTACCTTCCACCATATTGAATTTAAAATGGAGGCATTCAGTTCATTGTGTATAGTCCTGCGAACCAGACGTGTATATGTTTCAGCTCAGTTGGTTAAGGTCAACAGATTGAGATATAGAAAAGCTTATGAAAGGAAGTGGCGTCAAGTACGTTGGATCTGCACTTACCACACAACGTCGCCGGTCAAACAGTTCCACACAATTAGTTTATACATACTCTATCCCTGCCCTACCGGTAGTCCACCTAGCAACGTCGCCTCTCTCCAATACGTAACCCGGTCATAAGCTGCAGCGTGGCAGTAATAGCAGAACACTTAACAACATCGACATGCCTCCAGTAGCAGAAGCAGACGAAATCATTTGTCAGGCTAAGCTTTAAGGACAAATGTACGGAAAAATCTATGATGTGTGAAACATTTCTAGCAGGAGCGTAGAATTACCGATACTAATCTGATATTATCCAAAGCAACTTGATTATTATGTTATAAAAATGTTTTATCGTCATGGTACAAATAATGCATTGAAACTTTTAAAAACAAATATCTCGAAAACTATTAGGTTTAGACACAAGTAAACCTTTTTTGATTTGGAAATACGCGAAAATAAGATTTTTCGGTCCGAGTTTTATGCTAAAATCTGGAATACTTCTCAAGCAATACGGAAAAATAGAAAATAAAATTGTAACCTTGACTCTCTGAATCTCGCAATCTATCAACTTTTGGACTAAGGTATGTTTAGGTCAATTCACACATTTTGGTCTGTAGTATCTCCAATTTCAAGATTTCCCAACCTTTCGCAGACACCCTGTATAACAGCCAACAAACATAACTCATTTTTGGAATGTTGCACGATTAGAATACTTCCTCGCCAGTAGGCGTGGGAAGTAGAAGAACAGACTTTTCTCTCAAGAATATAAAAATTTAATAAAACAAAAGTAATCACAAAATATTTTGCATCATGACAATATTACAATCAGGGGCACAATCGTCTTCACACTTACTGTTGCTTAGCATGTCGAGAGCATTCAGCGTGTGTACCAATATACTTTTCACCTTTTGTTATATCAGCCGCGAGGCAAGTGACGACATTATCAAACATGCACTGTTCGTAATCTGTCAATTCCTGTAAACCGAGATTTTTCGACACACCGTGGATTCCTAGTTGAACTGGGGTCGAGAGGTACTTCAATTCAGGATGAACCTGAAAGTAAAAAATAACGTCAAGTACATTGTCTCTATACTTCTCGCGCAATTCTGCCATCAATCAAATTATGTTCTATTTATTTCCACTCAACACCATACGAACCTTGATTCAAAAGAATTGTAGGTGTGATATTGAGTCGACTTACTTGACACACAGCTTATTCAAAAGACTCAGCTTTAACTACGATATATACACCAATTGTTGTACAATAAACTGTACAGTTGCCACATTTTTTTAACAGTAGGCCATCTTTTGCTGACATCATACCACTGATGTATAGGCTCCATTAGATTAAGATGTAAAGGCCTCGTCTTTTAGTTATGGTACAAAAACAGCATTTCAAATATTTCAAACGCCGTTGCTGGAATTTCCGCCAGCCCGTCGTAGCAGTGAATATAACATTCATTTGGCGTAATTTTTCTTTTCTTTCAATTTTCCAGACAGCTGCAGCTTATCCAAATTTGATTGATAGTGTCTCTAACTCTTATAGCGATAGACGCCATACACCGGATGCACCTCTGTTTGCTTTTAAACTCCTTGCTCAGCAAGACATCGTCAATATAATCACTCACATTAAGTCTACGGCATGTGGCTCTGATGGTCTAACTTTAAATATGGTGTGCTTATGTTTGCCTGATACCACAGACCATATCACTCACATTCGTTCGAAACAGGTTACTTTCCTGCCAGTTGGAAAAATGGTATTATTACTCCAATAGCTAAAACTAATTATCCAGAACAATATTCGGATCTCAGGCCAATTACCTTATTAGGCTTTCTATCAAAAATACTCGAAAGAGCTGTCTACTCACAACTAGTGGAGTTTTTCGAACAAAATCACTTATTTCCTCTACATCAGTCACATTTCAGGGCTGGTTACAGCACTACTTCGTCTTTATTACATCTTACTGATCCCATCATTCACAATTTAGATAATCACATCAACACCGTCTTGGTACTGTTAGATTTCTCGAAAGTCTTTGATATGGTCAATCACCAGATACTACTGAGTAAGTTACCTCATTAAGGAATGTCAGATATGGTTCTAAGGTTCTTTGAGTCATACTTGCTAAATCGTCAACAAACAGTGAAAACGGATCAGGGAATTTCTTCCTCTGAGCCAGTTCCTACGGGAGTTCCACAGGGATCAGTATTAGGTTCCTTACTATATCTGATTTATACGATCGATCTGCAAGACTGTTTAGTATGCAAACTTATGCAGATGATACGCAGTTAGTGTTTGATTTCGATACATGAAAGGTTGATGAAGTTTCTTTTAAAGTTAATTTAGATTTGGCTAACATCAGTGATTACTGTAACAAACACTGCTTGAAGATCAATCCTAATAAAACTACTGCAATGTTGTACTGTTCGAAGAACTATTACCGTGAAATGAAGCAGAGGATTTGTGTTGTTCTGGATGAGACACTCATCCCTTTTGTGGATTACGCCAAGAATCTCGGTGTTACCCTTGACTTAAATATGAGATTCGATCGGCATGTCTCTTTCTTATCTAGAGTAACGTATATGTGTTTGAAACTCCTCTATTCTAATCAATTCATCCTGAATTTTAAAACGCGAAAAAAACTCGCTGAAAGTCTTGTGTTGTCTGTCATTTCTTACCCTCTTGTTCTTTATTACCCATGTTTAGACTACGTCCACAAAAGGAAACTCCAGAACATTCAGAACAGTTGTTGTAGGTTTATTTTTGGATTGCGCAAGTTTAGTCGCGTCTCAGATAAAATCAAAGAACTCAACTGGTTGCGAATTGATAAGTTATTTTTATATCTTATAACCGTCTTCACGCATAAAGTTCTATTATCTAACAGACCAGCTTACCTCGCTAGCAAATTAGTTCGCCGTGGTAGTTTTGTTACCAGAGCTCTTAGATTTAATGCTAATTTTAACATGCCTCCTCACAATACCTCGGTCTTTGAAAGAAGTTACACCTATAATGCTGTGAAGCATTACAATGCAGTCAACAGTGGCTATCGATCGAAACAGGTTGCTTCTTTTAAGAAATTAATGAAAAGTCAGCTGCTGGAGTCCATTTAGTTCAGTTTTTCTTGTGTTCATGTGCTTTTTTTTGTTTGACTATTTTCTACTAATTTTGTTTCAAATTTAAAACTCTCACAATACTATCTGCATTTGTCTCGTGCAGTCAACGTTGTCATTCTTATGAACTGTATTTTTTTGGTATGTTATTATTTTTTTTATGTGTTTAAGTATTTTTTTTCCTGTTGTGGGGTTGGGTGTAAGAGTAGCCGTCTGGCTAAACTTCTCCTCACTACAGCTAATAAAGGCATTATTATCATTATTATTATTTGAACTTGTCAACATACACAACCTCCGACTTGCTACAAGCCCCAACCTTCACGAGTACAATTTTTCGCCACTACAATACATCCTCGCCCAATGACGTGGGAAGTAAAATAGTTGTAGGCAAAGTTCAAAGTATTTTGCTAAACGCTATTCAATTTGCAGTCTAACGTGCCAACTGGTTTAGACAACTCTAAACTATCTCGTCATCATCTAAGCCTAAACAGCAGGCTAGCATGTCTACAATGCAGGAATTGAGGGATTTTGTTTATACGACTTTCGAACCAGTTAAGGTTAGTGATATCCGAAAACCTGTCTCTAGATGGAATATTCTACTCTTTTGATAACTGAGAACTAATGAGCATCCATACCGTTCGGATTTACTCTTAGATATGCGAACATTTCCCTCCGGAACAGCGGTGCTGATATCGTGGAAAGAAATAGTGTCAAAATTAGACAGCACAAAGTCCCATCTATTATCAGAATTACCTCTGTGAGAGTGAAAATAGCAAGGTGTCTGTTGGAACTGTATCCCAGTTCGTATTTGATAGCTAAACTATAATATAGCTTTCGTTCACGGCCAATAAATCTCCATGGTAAATGCTGACGGTTCACTGAAAAATAGTTAAAAAACTAAAAAAAAGTAGCGTCAAGTAGGTTGATGCTGCTGTCATTACTTCATAAAATATTATGTTCGGCACATGTATAACCAAAAAAATTAAACGAATCAGGCTAGTCAAAACAGACTCAGATATACAATTAAAATTTGCATATATGCCATGTTTTTTGCACAATTTTGGAGCTCTTTAGGATTTGGCTCGCAGAGAAAATATGCTCTCCCTCGTCCTTCAGTTTTGAAGGTCCTTTCACACAAAAGTTATCTCTTGCCGATGAATGGCCCTCCCCCTTTCCCTGAGAAAAATTCCTGCTGGCGCATATGATCGAAACTATATGTACATCAGGCGTGGATAATGATCGGTTCACATGTAGTCATTCAAGTTTTAAGGATAAGTGTACGGGAAAATCTATGATGAGTTCAATATGTCTAAAAAGTGCGTAGAAGGCGTGTGAGCATACCACTGTCAAAAAATTGAGTTATACCCTTTCCCAGCGCGCTACAACCCCCACCCCCCCAATTTACCACCCCTTAGAATTTTTATTGCTTTACTTTTTTGCGTCTAGTTCCGATGCTACTAGATCCATTTCCAAAAACTATACAGCTTTTTCGTATTTGACATAGTAGTAATCTTGTATGAAAATTCCATCAAAATCTGACCGGTACTTTCCAAGTTCCAAGGAGTATTCCATTACACTGTGCCCAAGTCTGAAGTGCAACCTGATAGCACTGCGTTGCTAGAAATTGATGTCACTCATTTTTAGAGCACAATCGAAAAAACTGTATTCCACAAAAAAATTACTAGACAACCAAATGACTAGAGCGAGTTCAGATTTGTAGTGAAGACGGATCACATGTTCCGCCATTAGATCGAACGCTACGTTGCCAATATCATCACTTAATTTACAGACCTCGTATAACACCCCAAAAATACATCGCATTTTCGAATTTTTTTGCGCTTACAATACTTTCACACCAGTGGCGTAGGAAGTTAAAAAAAGTGGTGTGTGCTTGGAGGCAGACTATGTTGTCTCCCATATTTTTTTACGCTAAGTACCAATCTGAAGTCAAAATTGGAGATCGGTGATTAAATTTTAGAAAAAAAAACCGATAAAAATTATCCGCAGGTCCACAGAATAAAAAGTGGTGTGTGCTGGGGGGTCTCACTATATTTTTTCCATGTATTTTTCCGTATGAAGACGAATATGAAGCCAAAATTCGGCGAAGATGTAAACATATGAAAGTACTATAGACATCAGAATTAAAAGGTTTGTTATTTTTGGAGGTCGTGCATCTCTCAGAGACCTCTGAAAAGATGCACATTCACCAAAATTTTTTAAACGAAAGATCTTCATTTTACTTTTTTATTTTTTCACCGACTCCCAATTTCGACTTCATATTCGAGTTCAGCGTAACAAGTTACGCGGGAAAAACGTTTTTATTTGTGGACCTGTGTTATTATTGATTTACCTTAGAAGGAACGTAAGCACATTCAATCACATTTTTGTGCCCTCTGATACCTTTCACCAAAGATAGTATAAACCTGGCAGTTGCGAAAGCAGCTAGAAATCCTGAGGTTTCCTTTTTCTGTTGAGGTTTTTTGATACTAGCTGTAATTTTCTCGATTTCTTCCTATGAAAGAAAATAAAAATTAGAGACTCGTTATCGATAGAAAATAGCCACATTTTAGGCAGTAGAGAAATCTGGGACAAATGTCAGCCACATGCAGCGACCCAATCTGACTTTGACACACTACAAATACGTTCCTGTTGGTATTCTTTACGTATACATATGTGACAAGATGGTTTAGGCCAGTTTGGCTTACACGTTTCAGGGGAACATACGCATGACGAAAAAAAAATGTCTTATTTATTCATTGATATTTGTTTAGTACGACTAGGTTCCACTAATTCAAGAGTATAAATTAGTAGTATGGTTGTTACTATGTAATACTAATACAGCAAACATTTATGATATGTCCAAGTTTATGAAAATGGGGGGTGGGACACTACTCACGTAGGAACGTGAGACCTTAACCGAAAGTATTTTCTTCCGCCACTAGAAATCCGTTTTTAAAATAAATTTTGAACGATAATGTACAGTTGAACAAAATTTTGATGTGCTAGTGACCAGTTAGGACCGCGTATTGATGATTTTCGTTAAGAATAGTTCATTTAGATCGTCAGTGACGGACTAGAACTAATGAATGATACACCCTCTGTACCACTGGTTCAAAATTATATTTTTAGACAGTTCTTCAGCTTAAAAAAGCACAATCCTTTTTTTTTTTTATTTAATAAACCGCATCGACCTATTGGCCATTAGCGGTATCGGATACAGTACGTTATATTTTATGTAGTACATTACAAAGCTGTAAGAAGTGTATCAGGTTGCGTATGTTACAATTGGGTGCTAAAATGTCACTCAAAGCCATCGATGTAAGGTTGCATTCCACTCTATGGTGTTCTAGTAATGGGCACTGCACTAATAAGTGTTTCACGGTTAGGTTAGTTTCACATATTTCACACATAGGTTCTGGCTCCTGGGTGATGAGGTGTTCATGAGTGATCCGGGTGTGACCCAAGCGGAGTCGGGTGATTAGGGTTTGGTATCTTCTGCTAGTAGAATTTGGAGTCCAAGGTCCGAATTTAGGTTTTAATTCGAGAAGCTTCGATGGAATATTCTGCCAGTTATTATTCCAAGTTTCAATCACTCGGTTTCTGAGGAGAGCTTTGATGTCTGAAGCTGGGATGTTCACAGAAGATATTCTTGCGAGATTTGCCGCCAATTGAGCCTGAAGGTCTGCTTTTTCGTTGCCCCTGATACCGACGTGAGAGGGAGCCCATACGAGAACAACATTGTGGTTTTCTGATTGTATCGCGTGAAGGATCTGTTTAATTTGGAGAACTATGTGATTATTTGTGTAGATCTTCTGGATGAGCTGGAGAGAGCTCAAAGAATCTGTTATGATGAGGCTCCGTTGGATCGCTTGATTGTGTATGTGTTTCATAGCTTCCAATATTCCATATAATTCTCCTGTTAGAATTGTAGCTTCATCTGGCAATCGCATTGTAAGGGTGTTGGAGGATGTCACAACAGCTGTTCCTATTCTCTTGTTAAGTCTTGATGCGTCTGTGTATATTTTTTCATAGTTCTGATATTTGTTCATTATTTGCTGGAAGTGTTGTATTATTATTGTCGCTGGTGTGTCTATCTTATTCATTTTTGTGAGATCTTGGTTGATGGTTGGTTTATGTATGGTCCAGGGTGCGGTGTCTGTACTACATTTATTGGTGTCCATGGGTATCTGGGAGATGTCGATCTTCCTCAAGTAACTATAGATTCTTCGGTAGAATGGCTTTTTGTTAGTTGTATCAGGTTGATCCATCTGCAACTCCCTATTAATCTGTTCTATGTTCTTGTGGCCAGGGATATTTGGGTTTGATGCGAGCTTAGTAGCGTATGCTAGGCTCAGAAGCTCCCTTCTGTCATTCAGCGATAGTTCACCGGCTTCACAATATAAGCTTTGGATTGGTGTTGTTCTAAATGCTCCGAGTATTAAGCGCAGTGCTCTATGGTGTATACTGTCTAATGGCTTGACAGTGGAACTACTGGCTGAGGCGTAAATTATGCTTCCATAGTCAATTTTAGCTCTTATCAGTGATCGGTAGATGCTGAGAAGGGTTTTACCCTCTGCTCCCCAGTGTCTGTTGGCTATATATTTTAGTACGGTCATCCTTTTTTCACATGATTTAACTAGATATTCTATGTGCTTTTTCCATATCAATCGGTGATCGAATATAAGTCCAAGAAATTTGATTTCTTGTGTTCGTTCCAAGGATACATTATTTAGTTTTAACGGTTCTCTGGAATGGGTTGTCTGTCTTCTCGAGAATATAATATATTTGGTCTTGTCAGGCGAAAATGATAATCCGGTACGTTTGGTCCATTGTTCTAACTTGTGTATTGTTTTTTGTATAAGTTCAGTGTTGGTTGTAAGGTTTTTGCCTCTCACATATACATATATTATCATATCGTCTGCATAAAGGCGTATTTGAACTGGCTTTTCTACATAGTTTATGATATCGTTGACAGCAATCAGGAATAATGTCGGGCTGATGATTGATCCTTGGGGGATACCATTTTCCAAGATTCTAGTTTTTGATAAAACTCCATTTGAGCGGACTTGGAAGCTTCTGTAGCTCAAAAAATTAGTGATAAAAGCAATAATATTTCCATTATATCCCCATGCTTGTAGTTTTGAGATGATGTCATACTTCCAAGTAGTGTCAAATGCTTTTGTCATATCAAAGTAAACTGCTAGGCAATGCTGCTTGTTATCAAAAGCTTCATGAATGTATGTTTCCAAGTCAATTGCGTTGTCTATTGTGGATCTGTTTTGTCTAAACCCAGATTGTTCATTTTTTAGACGATTGGTATTTTCTAGGCTCCATAGCAGCCTCTTATTGACGATTTTCTCTAGAAGCTTACACATAGCACATGTTAGAGTTATTGGCCTGTAAGATTCTGGTGCAAGAGGTGATTTGGTGGGTTTCAGTATAGGTATCGTAATTGCTTGGTGCCATATGTCAGGAAATACATGTTCTGTCCAGATTTTGTTGAAGATTGTCAGTAAATATTGCTTAGCTACTTGGGGTAGGTTTTTTAGAAATATTATAGGTATATCGTCAGGGCCTGCCGAAGTTTCCTTTAAGACGTTGAGTGCTTCTTCCATTTCGAGTTCTGAAATTGGTGTATTCACAGGGTTTTGGTTGTTTTGTATTGTTATTGGTACTGCTTCTACTTCTGCCTTGTATTTGAGGAAATCATCGCTGTAATTTTGATTGCTGGAGTTTTTCTGGTAAGTTTGACTAAGTACTTCAACTATTGCATCATTTTTTGTATGTGTTGTATTTCCATCTTTCAAGCATTTTATTGATGAATAGGACTTGGCCCCAACTATGCTTTTGATCTTCTTCCAGACTCTTGATAGTGGTGTCGAACTATTGATACTGCTAACAAACTTTTTCCAGGAATCTTTCTTATTTTTCTTTGTAATTAGCTTTGCATGTGCCCGTTTTCGTTTCAAATCTACCAAGTTTGCAGTAGTTCTGTGTCGTTTGAAAGTATTTACAGCTTTCTTGGTTGCTCTTATTGCTGTGGAGCACTCTTCGTTCCACCATGGGACGGGATTTTTGTTCATCATTGTCTTGGTTTTTCCTACCCTATTTTGAGCTGCATCCAAGATGATGCTGTTGAAGTTGGATATGGTTTGGTTGATGTCATTTTGTATTTGAACGTCTTGAATGTTTTGTTCTATGTGATCCGAAAACTGCAACCAATTTGCTTTATTCAAATTCCATTTTTCAAGTGGTGTGGTATTATTTTGGTTCTCTGAGTTGGATATTATAATAGGGAAGTGATCACTCCCAAATAGATCATCCAGAACTTGCCACTGTAGTGAAGTTATCAGGTTTGTTGTGCATAAGCTAAGGTCTATTGAAGACATTGTTCCGGTTCCCAGATCCAGTCTTGTTTCTGTACCATCATTCAGTATGCTAAGATCGGTTGTATCTAGTATGTTTTTCACTATTAAACCACGCGCGTTGTGTTTTTTGAAACCCCAAATATGATGATGAGCGTTGAAGTCTCCCATGATGATTCGAGGAGATGGTATTTGTTGTAGTAGCATCTCTAGCTCGTTAGTATCTAAGTGATAGTTGGGCGGTATATATATGCTACAGATGCTGAGTTTCTGGGGAGCTTCTATTGCAATAGCAACTGTCTCAAGTTGCGTTATTAAGTTTATGGGGCTAGCTACTATATTATTCTTAACATATATAGCAGTACCACCACTAGCTATGCGGTTTGATGTGTAACTGCGGTTCTTGAAGAATCCCATGTAATGTTTTGGTGTATGAATGTTAGTATCAACAAAGTGGGATTCTTGTAAGCAGATTATGTCTGGATTTTGATCTGATATAAGTTTCTGTAACATATTCAAGTGGCTGTAATACCCATTCAGATTCCACTGCAACAGCGATGTGATTCCTATATTCATTATAATTTTTCGAGTATATATTAGAACGTTGATGAATCCAACGAAGAGGTGTCACTAAGGCATTCGTTAGTATTGATGTCTATGTAACGTTCCAGTTTTTTACGGAGTCTTGTACATCTGTTTTTGACTGTTCTATCAGTAATGTGAGGATATACTAATAGTATCATTTCTACAAGGCCTTTAAAATCAGTTGTATAGTCCTGGACGATATTTGTAATATCTTGGGTTCCATGAGTATTTTCAAGGAGACTTTTAAATTGATCACTATTCAAAGGAAGAGGGGGCATGTGATTGTCAATGAATGTTTTAACACTTGTTATCGCGTCTTGTGAGATGTAGGATGGCTGTATATCTGTTTTATGTTTCTTTACTTTCATGCTTGCGGGAGCTGCGAATATAGGTGGGGTCTGTATCATGTGCGGGTGTGGTTGGTGAAATAGTTTCTGAAAAATATCGTTCCGAAGATGAGCTGCTTTGCGTAGTCATCTCTTCGCTGTATGCTGCGTTTTGCTCCTCCGGTTGGTTTTGCCGTGTATTAAATTGGAAGTTTGATGCTGGCTCTTGGCATAGCGTTACATGCGTTAGAGTTGTGTCAGTTGACACTTGACTTTTAGACGGTTCAGCTTCAGGTTTTTGTAAATTAAGTAAGTGTTGAGGTGTTGTTTCTCGGACTTGAGCTGTGCTTATGGATTGTGGATTGTTTCTATGGGTGGTACTTGTTGATTCCTGTTGGTTAGGCGATTGGATTTCTGGCGTTGTTGTGTGTTGTTGATGAGATGATGATGGACATTGGGAAGCTACATGACCTTGTTTGCTACATTTGAAGCACTTTTGGCTATCTAGTGATAGAAAGATGCGGTAACTTAGGTTTTCGTGAACTATCTCAACGGATTCTGGAATGTTTAGGGATTGCTGATTGGGCTCAATGTATACTTGTCTTCTGAAACTCAGGATATGGCTATACTCTGGGAGTGGAGCGCCTATTCTTAGAAAGGAGACGGGCGACACTAGTTTTAGTCCTAGTTGTAATATTTTTTCGTTTAAAACTGAGTGAGGAACTGTAGGGCTTACGTTTGACATTACTAAGCGGTCGGAGGGTGATATTAGTCGTCGAAGCACAATCCTTGGTTTTGTTAAAGTGAGTCGTTTTTAAGAGAAACGCTCTTGTTCTAATGCAACTTCTATCCATTTATGGTATACTGCAGTGGATCCTTGTTGGCAAAAGTCTAACAGTTGGCTGAGTGATTTGAAAGTCTGTATCTTTGGTTTTTTGGGATCATGAATTTGTGAGAATTACTGTATATCGAGAATGGCGGAATCACTATACTTCATTCCGTACCAAAATTGATTCAACCATACAGGAACAAAAAAGCTTTTCTCAAATTCAAAAGGGATCAAAATTTAGGCTTCCAAAGAATGTCAACGTTATACGAGGTACATTTTTTTATAGGAAGTATATCAAAATATTATCCATTTTATTATTCAGAACAACCAACGAAAGTGCCCTTCAAGTACAAACACAAACTGGAATAACAGAGATAAAAACAAAATTGATATAGTCTCAATAAGGAATCCGCTGGAAGATGTTGACGAAGGGTAGACTATTAGGCGAATGGATATAAGGTTTTTCAACCTGTATACTGGTATCTTTGATGATTTTATCTGTCTAAGATACCCCTATATTTTAATAAACTGAAACTGACAACTACGCGGAAATTGCAAGATATCCACATAAGTCTTTAAGTAAAGTATATGCGCTTTAGTTTACAATTTTAATCATTTCAATACATTGATTCCACTTGAAGCTATGTGCTCTGATGTGAGAAATGGGTCAAGTGTCCCGGTTTTTCTAATACTAGGTGTTAGTCAAATTTCACACGATTAGAATTTACTGTGGCTCGTACCAACAGTATTTAATGCTCATTCCGTCAGTGTCAGTGTATTTCTAAGTAACCTTATCAATAATTACTGACATTATGGTTGATCAACAAATATCATATTTCATTATAAATAATAACGACAGGGGTGTAACGTAAACAATTCTTGTAATGACATTAAAAATCGGTATAATGTCAACTTGTTTACTAAGTAGTCACTAAGGCCCATATCGTCAGTCGTCCCTACAATTGTAGGGCGCGTTTATGGCCTCCTTGATTGTCATAGTTTTCTACTTCTCCGTGTCAGAGCTCTATTTTGAGGTTATGTCACAAACATCTATTTGCATCAAATTGTGCTTGCTTTTGAGTTATATCATGTTTTATCAGCCTGAAATTTCCTACAATTTAAAAGGAAAACATATCTTCACAATAGGAGAGCGCTGACGCTGACACGGGACAAGTGTAATCTAGAAATTTTTGAAGGAGAGAAAGGAGGATGACAATCAAGGAGGTCATAAACGCGCCCTACAATTGTAGGGACGACTGACGATACGGGCCTAAGTAGTCACTAAATCATTCCGCATCTACTAGCTATGAGCGCCATCTATGAGAGAGTGTCACAGCAGCCGTTATCCCAAAAATAGTATAGAAAATTGAAGTTATGAATGGCCCTCATAAGTACCATCTTTGAATCAGATGTTACATCTCTCCAGAGCCGAACCATATAGCTCAGGTGTCATGACGTTTAGGCAACACACACAGCTACTACACGTTTACATAAAGTGAATGACAGCTAATTCATTGTGATATTTTCGGAAGAATCTACATAATGTCAGATCGATATAATGTCACTTTTTCAGTCACGTTATCCGGGTGCCGATCAGGTTCACCCATTACCAGATAGGTCCGGATTCGTCGCGATCGTCGTGACATTTCACATGATGTCCAGAGTCTCAGCAGAATTCAAATTGTCCCGACAAATAACAACACACAAATTTAGAATTAAGCGGTTTGAAAACCAGGATTCTTTGAATTCTGATTACTGTTGCCTCGTAAAAATATTCAAGTATATTCTGAAAAATGTGGGCATACATTTTTTGTTAAATGTGACTTAAATGAGGTTAAAATTTTGTAAAACTTTATACCTGTTGTCTTATCAATCCCAGTGAGCAATGCTTAGTGTGAAAGGGTGTTCAGTATATTGAATAACTTATATTCCAAAGGCAGAAGTAGAGTGGCGATAGATTTAATTAATAATAATGGCTTTATTATCCAACGGCTTCCCATTTACAGGATAATATAACAATTTAATTATATGCCGTTGTGTGCTATTAGGTATGGATTGATAAAACAATATAATGTAATAACTGAAAGGATAATTATAATATATTCTAATAATAATACCCTAAATATAGATGCAGATAATTAACCCAAAAGCAAGAATTCAAAATTAGTTCAATAACCTCTTTGCTGTTCTGCTGACTTAAATAACATATTAGTCTTAGGTCTAAGTAGCTTAAATGTCGCATTACGCCGAGATCTAGTGTTAGTGGATTTTGATAATGTTGATATTGTGAAAAATTCTACAATTCCTTATCAAAAACCCATAAGCTCTTACTGCTTCAGTTTTCTCAATATGTTTAGAAAAAGATAATTTACAATCGAAACCCAAATCCCTAACCTATGTACATCTAATCAGGTTCTTTCCATCAATATTATATTCAAAATCTATAAATTTTCTTTCTCCTTACACTTATCTACATTTACTATTTATTTATTATTGTTACACCAGTTCTGAATCAGGTCAAGCTGCCTTTGAAGTTACAGGCAATCAGTGACGTTAGATATTGTACGATACATTTCTAAATCATCAGCAAAACCAAGTTTTTCTACTGTTAAAGCATCCAATAAATCGTTTATAAAAATTAGAAAAAGTAAGGGTCTCAAGTTTGATCCTTGCGGTACTCCAGATATAGCTTCATAGGCTTCCAACTTAAACACATTATACAAGACAAATCAAAGGTAGGTACGTCCTGTTTTCAAGACATGCGATAGACTGCTTACTGAAATTATAGACCAATAACGTAAGTCTGTAACTTTTCTATTGCTTTTCAAACTTTGCTCCATAATGTCTCATTCCATAACGTTTATTCCAATATAAATACAGCCCAACATGGCTTTATGAAAGACTGATCTACTACAACCAATTTAGTTTGCTTCACTCAATTTGTCTCTCCAGTACCAGATGTCAACGTATAGTTAGATGTCATTTACACCGGCTTTAGTAAAGCCTTTCACAAACTATAATAATATAATATATAATTACTGTATTTCCAACTTCAAGTGTGTCTCGAGGCTCATGTCTGGGTCCTCTGCTTTTCATTATTTTTATTAATGAGATTGTTGATAATAGAAGGAAAGCACATTCTCTTGTATTTAGGTTAAGGTTCAATACCCCAATTTTTTTAGTCGAAAGACGCGTACCTTTTAGCTCCCTATTCCACTAACTAAATTACTAGCGCACTCACCTCAGCACTCAAACTGTTCGTGTTATAATAATCTTCAGGACTATTTTGATATAGTTAATACAAAATTATCCTACATTACGCAAACGTGTAAAAAGGTGGCTTAGTGTTTATTACATTACTTTGTTTGTTATGTTGCTGTATTCCCACCAGTAATTGGTATATCTGTTGGTGGTGTATAAATAAATGAATAAATTTTGGAGCAAAAATTTAGAAATTCTGTCAAAACTAATTTTTTTGAAAATACACCACTGATAGAGCAATTTGTTGTGGAGTAGGTTTCCCCGGTATTTGAAAACTCACGTGTGAAAACTCTATCTTGGGCTTGACTTGCGATAGTACAGGCACTCTAGTCTCTTCGCTATGTCCCCCAATAACCGGCACACTAACACATTCTGGTCCAACTTTCATAGTCTTTGCAATGATTGTGTTGGCTCTTACACTGTCATCAGCAGTGATGCCGAAGACGGTTGAAGGATTGTAACTGCCAAACTTTTTCAGTGTTTCACAGCACAGCGGCAATACACTATTTATCGGTTCTGTGCCTACAGCTAGAAATGCCTAAAATAGTTACAGTTTTTAACGATTGATTTAGCACAAGTAAAGTTCGAGATGGCAAATTGTAGAGCAGAGAAGTGAATAATCCAACTCAAGCTATGTCCAATGGCGGCGGAGCTAACGGCAAAAACACAAAAAAATAAAAATCGCCCAAACTTTGTTTTGGCGTTTCAGAAATCATTGTCAGAAAAAGTTGTAGGGTGTAAAAATTGGGCGATGTGAGTTGTAAGGGGTAGAGGAATGAGTCCCAGCTCCTCAAAATTCTAGGGATCCAAAGTGTTGGTATAGTCTGCATGTGTTTGATCCGAGCCTCACAGCGACACAGAACATGTGCCGAGCACTCTTCCTCTATCCTGCAGCGCTCACACATGGAATCCTCAACCACCCCTATCACATGCAGGCGTATCCAAAGATAAACAAAAGAGATGCTTTTCGATTTCTATGAGTGTTGTCTAGCAATCCACTTCTCCATTTTCCTCCTGACTCTTTGCGCGGGTACCCCTAGGGCTAGCTCAGGGCCAACAAGCTTGCTCGCTGATCCTGCTTTTGCAAGAACGTCCGCCATATCATTGCCCTTTATCCCAGCGTGCCCCGGTATCCTCACTGTGGATACCAGATACCTCGCTGCTAGACTATCTAGAGCCTCTCGGCATTGCAATACATGGCTCGAAGTAATCTTGCCTTCATCATAGTCTGGCTGTTGGGGAAGATTGTAATTCTTCTGCTAGGCACTTCTCCCTCCAAAATGCGGGATATGCAAGTTAGAGTCGCGTAGATTTCCGCCTGGAAAATAGTGCCGAGAGACAGAGATACCCTAGTTCTAGGCCCAACGTCGGAACGCCACATTAAACTTGCGGTTAAAGCGATATTTGTGGGTGATCAGACTACTCCTGTCCAGAATTAGGAGATCCTCTCTTTACAATTCAACTAAGATGGAAGTGTGACCCTTGTCAGGGTTCAAAGAAGCCTCGCCTTACGGTAGATCACTAGATCCAACGGTGGAAGATCCAGCAGAGCTTCCATTGCACTCAATGCACTGCGCTTGTAATGCTGGTATAAGGCAAGCCATGCAAGGTTATCAAAGCAAGGGATCATACAAAAGAGATGAACGACTATCGTCGTACAGAACCATTGCACCACCACTTTGGGTTTAAGCCCCCACCTCACTCTGACGACACGTATACAAGCCCACAATGAAGTACGAGCCTTGTTAACCTTGTACTCGATACGCTCTTACCAATTCAGTCTACACTCCAAGATGATTCCTAGATGTTTTAGTGATTGGGATGAAGCTAGTCTAGTCCCAAAGAAGGTTGGCTAGAAAAACCAGTCAATCTTCCGTCTCCTTGTGAATAGGATCAGCTCGGCATTTCCAGTTAGTAACTGTAAGTATATTTATACGCTCAGAACTCCGGTAAGTTTGCGTATCTTTTAGAAATACTTCACACATCATAGATTTCCCCGTACGTTTACCCTTAAAACAGAATAACAGAGAGATGTTTTCAATACGCGTCTTTGCTTTTGCTCCCTGGATTTACCGGCGAGCGTGCCAGTCTGAGTCTCCTTCCATTACTGCCGCGCTGCCACGTCGTGCGGTCAGGTATACGGAAGGGGCGACGTTGCCAGGTGGACTGTACTACAAGTAGGGTTAGGCAACCTCTCGATCATTCTATTCTATCAATTAAAATAATTATGAACTGATCGCGGCGTTGCGTGGAAAGTGCAGATTTAACCTACTTGGCGCCTTTTTCTTGTCATTTGAATGCATTTTAGCCAGAAATACACTTACCTTTGGTGAATATTTTGCATGAACGCTCATTATTTCTGAAACAATTTTTGAATTCTGTTCCCATTGTTTATCTGGTGTTAGCGAATCAGAATCTGGACCGGCAGCAATCACTACCACAACATTTGAACCCTGCATAGAAATTATGACGATTTTCTATTTTATTGAGGAGATATATTTTCATGAATACTCGTATAAAAACAAATCAAAAAATTTAGATATAGGCTCTATGAGACTTTTTGCATTGCTGGCCAACAGAAATGTTAGCCTAGAGGCGAAAAGAGCACTGCACTTAGGTGATTTGGAGCGCTAAAGTCGAATATCATCTTGAAAAATCTGAAGACTTCAATATTAAAATTTAGGTAGAAATGGGGCAAATGGGGTTAGTCTGCAATTCTAGCACCGTATTGACATCAGATTCAGAATCTGTACTGATTCACCCAGATCACAGATTAGATAGACATATAGTGTGTCCGGTAAATAGACCGGCAAAAAAAATAGGGGTGATAGACCAAGGGCAGATCTACAACATGCCAAAAAATGACCCTAGTAAAAGTTTCACTTTTTTTGAGATATTATTTTTTTGTCTCTCTTTTTTTAATCTATCTTTTGTTGCTATGCCTAGAAATAACAGCATATCTGTTTGTTTTTTTGCAAAATATTCTCAGATAGTTGGTCTGCCATTTGAAATATCATTTTCGATAAATACAAGTAGGTAAACTTGAAAAACCATTTTCTTCTTCGTAATTTTTATTTTAGAAAACAATTTTACTCAACTTTGGTATTCAGCAATGAAATAAAAATGTACTATAGACTGCTACTACAAAATACTGCGATAAATTACCTGCTTAATCAGCAACAAAACATAGATCAAACCAGGAAACTTTTCTAAAAAGACAAAAAAAAAATAATATCTCAAAAACAGTGAGACTTTTACTAGGGTCATTTTTTGGTATGTTGTAGATCTGCCATCCACCTATCTTCCCCTTTTTTTTGTCGTATTATTTACCGGACACCTTGTATAGATAGATAGGTAGGTAGGTGGTAGATAGATAAAACTAATGCAGGCATAGGAACTAGCAGAGCTTTAAAATTGTTTTCGTAATACTATTTTAATGCGACTTATAGTAAGTAATTCAATGTTTTTTCGTTAAACATTTCTATTTTCGTTCATCGATGGAAGTATTTCTTAAAATATATCCCGTTCCAGCTGATTTGATAATGTGATAATATGAATATAGGATGGAACTGACGGCTGCGAACTCACCTTTAATGCAGGGGGTAGATTAGACTTTCCGCTGTACGCAGTTACCTTGCAGCTTGTGTCTATATTATTCAGTTCTAAAGCATCGCCTGTTGTCTTCACATCGTGCATGGAAAGTTCGTCTATCATTAAAGATTGCTTCAGCATCAGACATAGGGGTTTTCCCATTTTACCTGAAATTAGGGTCGGTGAGGCTACAATATTGGAGCTGTGCATATTATCAAGTTGTTTAATGCCTTCAATTTTTATTCATATTGAAAAGTTATGTATCTCGAAGATATGCAGCAATTCATACAAATTAAATACTACATTTATTTACGTACCTAACGCATTTTTGATTTATTACAAATTCAAAAAGCTAATTCATTTCATGACAAGCAATGGCAGCGCCCAACACATTTTCTTGGGCTTGACGCTTGTTTTACTTTTATTTGTCGTTCCTTCCTTCTTTTTAGTCGGGGTATTTTAAAAAAATACATTTAATTCTTTTTAGCCTACATGTCTCGTTTTTTTCAAAATTATCAATATTGTACTGTACCCCAACTTCACGAAAGTATTGGACGTATTAAAAAAAATATTGGAGGCATAAAATTACAAATAAGCTACTAACTTGCATATCGCCGTTCTTCCGTTTTTTATCATTTTATGACATCTGCTAAGGCTATTTTTGAGCTACCTATATAATAATAATAATAATAATCCAACTTTATTTATACAAAGTATAAAAAGGCGAAGTGTCGCCAAAAAGCGTTTTTCAACTTAACCCAACAAATATTGATGTATATTTTCTAATCCCAATGAAAACAAGAGTTAAAAAAAAAACCTGTAACGAGTCCTTATTCATGGCCATGGTCTACTTACTGGGCAATGGAATCAGAGATAAAATTCTTCAATCTTTCTTTGAAATTCTTTATCGAGTAGTGAGTGAACTTGGTAGGCAACGCGTTGTATAGCTTGATAGCAGTATATACGTACGACCTTTTAAATAGAGATGTTGAATGTCTCGGGATAACCAAAATATGCTTATTCTTTGTGTTCAGTTGATTAACATCTGAGTATCTGATAAATTTGGTTGATAGATATGGAGGGGCTTGTGTTGTGATTACGTTATGGGTCAAGGTCAATACATGCATTTTTTGTAGCTCTTCTATTTTTTGAACACCCAGCTCACGAAATTTATGTGACACTGTCTCAAATTTTCTCACTCCACAAGCAAATCTGAGACACGCGTTTTGAATAGTCTGAAGTCTCCTTATCTCAATCGATCTTAGTGCAGGCCCATAAATACAGTCACAGTAGTGAATTCTAGACCATATTAAGGTTTCGCATAACTTCAGCTTGAGACCAGTATTCATACTTTTCCTATGAGGAAATAATTGCTTCAAGACACCGAATGATGTTCGGCACAGTTGACTAACGTGTTTTTCAAACCTCAAATCAGATTCAATCCAGAGTCCTAAATTCTTGCACTCATTTTTTATAGGGATCGGTTGATCTAAAATGCGCAATGATAGTAATGGTTTTGCCTGACTTTTTTTGATTTTTGGTCCAAATATAACTGCGGATGATTTTAACGGGTTAATTTTCAGATTATGGGCACAAGATACCAAGATATCAATACTGATACTCAAATATTATTTATGTATCAGAAATATCCCAATTGTACGCATGAAAAACTTGATAATATACGCATACGTGTGCGTGAAAAGTGCTGCCACAATAAAATCAACATCATTTTATACCCATTGTTTTTTTATGCTTACCTGCAGCCCCAACCACAGTAACTTTAACATTGCCACTGCTCAAGCTATAATTTCTTTTACATCCAATAATTTTATCGAGAAGTCCGTTTTCAAAAAAATTACTTACATATTCATTGAGGTGTTTTTGGAATACCGGTGTAATGTTGAAGATCATTTTTATCCACATTGATTTGGACTATGAAGTTACCCTCAATTTTGATTGATGTCATTAGATATGGGTTATTGTGTCATATGTGAATAAACTACCCTTATGAACTATTCTTTTAATTCATCACCTTCTTTACCTTTTTTCTTTAGACCAACAGGAATAGACAATAAAATGAAAAAAACGGCTTTAAGTATGTTGACTTTGCACTTTCCATATCTTCGGCTCAAGCTGGCCCCTTTCAGAAAAAAGCTAACTATGAACATGTATAACAAAGCAATTCCATAGATCAAGTCAGCCAAATAGGCCTATGCAATTAGTCCACACCCATTTGACAAGCAACGAAACGTTTCGATCAAATCGCTTTTTTTGCTTCAACTTCCTGTATCTCAGAAATGAACCAATTCCGGAAATATATTATTGTGATATTTTATTTTTAAAACGACCAAGGAATCACGCTCTGAAGTTTCGTACCGTATGATGAAAATGATACAACAGCAGTAAGTACTTTTGCAGTAGTGCAACGTTGATATGTTGTGGCAGGCGATTTTACAAATACATGTAGGCATATATTTTAATTTGTAGCTTTAGAAAAAAATTTGAGGAAAATGTGGAGAATTTATTTGTCAGTAAACAATTTCTTATTTCAGACTAATCAATTATTGCCTTCCAACATTTTCAGTTACTCTTTGCGAACAGGTGCTGCGATATCGAAGACCTCGCATTCGCAAGAGAAAATTTCCATCTCGATTTCTTCCACTATCACTCCAGTTGAACGTTCCTTGTTTTATTTGGGTATATGTATCATGTCTTATCATATTTCTCTAAAAGGGAAAGAGATACAACAGAAATACCTTTTACAAAAATTGCAGAGAATACAATTATCTAGAAAAGTTGTTCGAGTACTTTTTTTATTCCTTGAGTTACCTTTTTTGAGATTAGTGATGTGCGGACTCTGAGATACCCTTGTGCTGTTATGCAGCATATATTTTGTGTACGCCATCGACCGTTTAATATGAACATATTTTCGGAAGCATTGATGTATGCGACTTATACTAAAATACACATCACTTATACTGGGTGTGTCAAAAGAAGTGTCACCGATTGTTCTCAAAATGCATTCCAGGATCAACCAAAGATCTGTATACAAAACAATTTAATGCGAAATGCTTGAAAACTTAAAAACAAGGAAATAGTATTGATCCGTACCATTCAAAAACATTTTGGTCTGCTTAAGATCCACAACAGCTGAGGTCAACTACGAGCCGTGATGAAAGAAAGACCGCGCCAGGACGAAATGGTAGCGCTACTTGTGATGTGCTGCGTGTGATGTTCGAGTGTCGCAATTTTGGAAAATAGCTTTACAGTACGATTCAGCACAAATGCATGAGTATGAAATAATTTTAAAATTTTTGAAAATACGAAATAATCGTGATACGTCTAAGCTAATGAAGTTGACCTAACTAAAAGTATTTAGTTTCCTTCTTTTAGTGTCAGCACACCGTGTTCCACTAGGTCCAGCTTCCACTGTAAATAAAGTCAGACTGAATGCTGGGCAATGTTAGCTGACATAAAATAACTTTGATCAGTGCTTCTCAACAAAATGCTCTTATTTATCTACATTAATAATCGTTTGAAAAATGGCATACATATGGTAGAATATGATTGGTACATAACTGGTTGAAACTGACGGTCCCCCTCTTTGCAAATGAACAAAATAAATATTTGTTCCAAATGAACCTTTTTTTTATTAGCGGGTTTTTAGAGATAGTGTGTGAAGCATATCCAGATATGTAAGTCTTAGTACTATCCTCGATGTCACAATCAGCTAAGTAGTTTGTCTCAAATACTTCTTTAAAGATGTCCAAATTCTTAGGCGTTTCTTTGGTATCTAAATAATCAAAATTTTCATGAGAATCAAAACAATTTTGGCGCTTTGTTTGAATTTTTGCTAAGTAAAATGACGATTTTCCAGTCAACGCGGAGGGAGTAACACTACCACCTGCGTTGCCAGATTTCTTTATTCATGGATTGTAGTTTATGTCGGCTATCGATGCCCTCAAAATGAATGAAAGGGAAAATGGTATATTCGGTAAATTCGTTCCCACTTGAAAATTGCCTTAAGCCTTCATATCTTATTGCAATTATTAAATCAAAAGTCCCAATCGATCCTTGAATGATTTGAATATATTATATCTTCTATATATTTGTATTTGCTTTTTAAAATCGAATTTCATCATGACAGTGATGAAAACGTTACAAAAAGTGTTCATAAATTACAAGTTATTCGGAAACAGTACCAGTTCTACAAATTCCATATAACTCGTTCAAAAAAATATGTTACAATATTTTCATTACATTTGGTCTTAATTGCGGAAGTACGTCTGCGTTAAATATATCAATAGAAACTTTGGTAAATTACTTGTAACAGCAAACTAAAGGACAGTAAATCTTTTTAAGCTTCTACGACTTTTTTTCGGAGCTATTAGCATATTGTTTTATTTTCTAACACTATGTATAAGTATATACATAGTAAGGTTCCGCTCCAAGGACAAATGAGGAGTTTTGATATATTATCCATAATGATGTATTTAAGATGTGTACCAGTTTTTCGCTTTGTGAGAATGTTTGCAAACTTGCAATATTTGTTGCTGTATTTTGTCGGGGCTATAACGTGAAACAGAAGGTAGCTTCTCGGTAGCCCCCCACATTTTATAAATAAACCACAAAAAATGTTTCAGAGAACTTACAGATTTTACAATAACTTCTGTTTTTATAAATCACAGATTCCGCGGATAGAAAGCACTATACCTCGCTCACCTCTCTTCGAACCAAATCTACCCCTACCCATTAATGTAGTGTGTTTTGAGGGATTTTTTTAAAAGCTGCAATTCTCGGGAATTTTTGTGCATGATGAAAATATCGACAGAATCCGGGATCTTGTGCGTTCAGATTGTCGGATGACAATCAAAATGATCGGGAACGAGTTAATTTGATTCATATCATCGTACATACATCAGGTCAAGGACAATTGGGTGTTGCATCACAACTTGTGACACAGCAATGTCAATAATCGAGTTTTTGGACAGTGAAATCCATTTCCAGTTCCACTACCACGCTTTTCGTCTTTCTAGCTTGACCCGTTCAAAAAACAAATAGGGTGTACCTTTCTGAAAAGGACTGTATAAACTTGACTCTTTCCAACCTATCCGAATTTATTGCTCTAAACCTCTAAACTATTCACAATCTACAGATCGGGCCAGTCAGTCGGTCGACAGCAAATTATTATAAACATGACATCTAAATCTAATTCAATTTGGTGTCGGAGTGCTCTGCTCTGACGCCACGAGCTGTTCGACAGATTAATTATAAAATTATCTGGAAGGAGTGGGGGGGGGTTAGAAGGGGCTGAAGGGGTGGTAATTTAATTAAGCCAACACCGCACCGGTATGGACGTCGTTTTGATGCAGCGAAAATCTTCCATCTACGAATATATTCTCATACTCGTATTGATGTCCAAACATTAAAATGAAAATGACGTGAAGATGACGTGTATTATTTATGATGAGTAACCAGTTTTTTTTTCAAAAGATCTTACACGATGTTATCAGACGGATCGCCGTAAGCTATAAAATCCCAACTAGCAAATCTTAGTATATTGCTTTATACGGTACTCGTATGAACGCCTTCAGAGCATAAATACAAAACAGTCTTACGACAAATTTTAATACTGTTTTATAAAAGTTTACACAACAATTTTATACCACATTTAAGTATTGGACAATACCTTAAAAAATATTATACAGGGTGTCCAAGGTAAGGATCCTATGCTTGGGGATCTCAACGCCTATGAGAGATACAGCTTGGTTCTTAGATTAAATTAGGGAAAAGTTGCGTTAAACAGGTATTTATATCCCGTTGAGAAACTTGAGATATTTGGGTAAAACTAAAATTTAGTCATATAATCTTTATTCTTTCTGGCTTTATTTCAAGAAATAATAAAAAATAATGAAGCTGTTATATTGTCACTTTTTAGGCACTACATGACGGTGTTTTTGAATTTTGTGCTTGGTGGTTCGTTTCTGAGAAACCATCGTCAACCTGACTTTTCTATGTAGTCCGAAAAAAAGGACACCCCTGTATCATTTCATCATATTTTTTACACTTTCCCTTTTGTTCTGCGATACTTATATATACACACATACATTAAATATTTTATTGAAATCTCTTATAAAGCAAAAACGTTTTATAAGAAGTCTCGAGGTGGTAAAAGTTATTTTATAACATGGAAGCCATATTTTGTATTATTTCAACTTCAATTGACGACGGCCTTTTTTTAAATTATTACAAAAAATCATTTTTGCAATGATGAGATTTGTGTTAATTCACTACTTTGGGGCCGTTCAAGTATTACGTGAGCACTATGGGGGCGGGGGGGGGGCTTTGCTTAGCTTATTTTGGATGACATGCGGGGTAGGGGAGTCTAGATGATGATTACGTCATCGGTAGTTATTTACTTTTTTACACGAATGGCAACCCTCACATTGTCTTTGCTTGAAAACGAAACGCATTTTCGGGGATTCCCGCAAATAATGCATACGTTTAGTGAACAGCGCGCCTACTCCCCCTACTCGCTTTAGAACCGAGTAGGGGAATTACCGCGCGGTGTTCACTTGTCTAAATGTCCTCTATCAGTGTATTGTTTCGTTTGGATACTATAGCGAGTAGACGTATTGTAAGCATAGTAAAGCAAGTTAACATTTGTGTTACCATTGATTCCATTAGCCAAAGTTTAATGTTTAAATAAGATGTCGTTTCACATAGACAAATCCAAGTTATACCAAAATTTGTTTGAACGTTTTAAAAAGTACGAAAGTACAAAATGTACAAAAGTTAGTTAACGAAGTGTGGCTAAATTACAAATTATACGAAAAATAATTACAAGCGGCGACTAAGCATAAATCCAATCTACTAAATTTTTTTTCTAAGGTGAGTGACGAAATCATTTTAGCTACCTATGAGTACTAGAAATATTAGAAGTCGCCAAAAAGTTTCTCTTTACTGATTAGAAAATATTA